GGGGGGTGATGGTGTCCCTGTGTCTGCAGAGCTCAGTACAGCCGTAGGCTCTCAGTTTTGGATATTTGAAATATGTGACAGGTCCTCTTTGCTGTGGGCGGGGCCTTATGTAAGAGAAGTGAACTCCCTTCAGGTGAAATTGTTTCCCGATTTGAACCTCGGCTCTCTGTAGTTGTCAGGCTTCGCTCAGATAGGTGTGACCAGAGGCTGCAGTCCCGCCCGGAGGCCTGCTGAGTCTTGCAGAAGCTGCGATTAAAGTCAATCGATTCTCCTCGTCTGGCCCAACGTCAAGTTTTCATGACCAGTGGTTATCTGTGGCCCTAGCTTGTGTGGGCCCCTGAGTTCTGCCGCTCACTATGTCTGTCCCGCACAGGCCCCAGAGAGGAGCTGATCTACGTTCCCTGTATCTACCGCAACACCGGCATTGACAAGCCTGACTACCTGGCCACGGTGGATGTGGACCCCAAATCTCCCCAATATTCCCAGGTGAGGCTCACAAATCTCATCGTGTGTATACTCCTCGGGGGCGGGTCCTGAAGATGCATTTTTAGAGATTAAAGGGTCGCTCCACCCCAAGGGTTTATTTTAGATATAGGTGGAGTGAGGGTGGGGCTTGTCTTGGTGAGTCTAGCAGTGACTTGCTGCTGTTCCTGCATTGGGGTGCCCCCCCTCCTGCTGCAGGGAGGTTGGGACCCCCGTAATGGCTGTGATGGAAAGGTTACAGGCAGGTGCTTACCAGTGGGAAAGCGGCAGGTACAGGCAGGCGCTCATCAGGGAGGAGGGGCAGGTACAGACAGGTGCTCATTTGGGAGGAGGGGGCACGTCCAGACAGGTGCTCATTTGGGAGGAGGGGGCACGTCCAGACAGGTGCTCATTTGGGAGGAGGGGGCACGTCCAGACAGGTGCTCATTTGGGAGGAGGGGGCACGTCCAGACAGGTGCTCATTTGGGAGGAGGGGGCACGTCCAGACAGGTGCTCATTTGGGAGGAGGGGGCACGTCCAGACAGGTGCTCATTTGGGAGGAGGGGGCACGTCCAGACAGGTGCTCATTTGGGAGGAGGGGGCACGTCCAGACAGGTGCTCATTTGGGAGGAGGGGGCACGTCCAGACAGGTGCTCATTTGGGAGGAGGGGGCACGTCCAGACAGGTGCTCATTTGGGAGGAGGGGGCACGTCCAGACAGGTGCTCATTTGGGAGGAGGGGGCACGTCCAGACAGGTGCTCATTTGGGAGGAGGGGGCACGTCCAGACAGGTGCTCATTTGGGAGGAGGGGGCACGTCCAGACAGGTGCTCATTTGGGAGGAGGGGGCACGTCCAGACAGGTGCTCATTTGGGAGGAGGGGGCACGTCCAGACAGGTGCTCATTTGGGAGGAGGGGGCACGTCCAGACAGGTGCTCATTTGGGAGGAGGGGGCACGTCCAGACAGGTGCTCATTTGGGAGGAGGGGGCACGTCCAGACAGGTGCTCATTTGGGAGGAGGGGGCACGTCCAGACAGGTGCTCATTTGGGAGGAGGGGGCACGTCCAGACAGGTGCTCATTTGGGAGGAGGGGGCACGTCCAGACAGGTGCTCATTTGGGAGGAGGGGGCACGTCCAGACAGGTGCTCATTTGGGAGGAGGGGGCACGTCCAGACAGGTGCTCATTTGGGAGGAGGGGGCACGTCCAGACAGGTGCTCATTTGGGAGGAGGGGGCACGTCCAGACAGGTGCTCATTTGGGAGGAGGGGGCACGTCCAGACAGGTGCTCATTTGGGAGGAGGGGGCACGTCCAGACAGGTGCTCATTTGGGAGGAGGGGGCACGTCCAGACAGGTGCTCATTTGGGAGGAGGGGGCACGTCCAGACAGGTGCTCATTTGGGAGGAGGGGGCACGTCCAGACAGGTGCTCATTTGGGAGGAGGGGGCACGTCCAGACAGGTGCTCATTTGGGAGGAGGGGGCACGTCCAGACAGGTGCTCATTTGGGAGGAGGGGGCACGTCCAGACAGGTGCTCATTTGGGAGGAGGGGGCACGTCCAGACAGGTGCTCATTTGGGAGGAGGGGGCACGTCCAGACAGGTGCTCATTTGGGAGGAGGGGGCACGTCCAGACAGGTGCTCATTTGGGAGGAGGGGGCACGTCCAGACAGGTGCTCATTTGGGAGGAGGGGGCACGTCCAGACAGGTGCTCATTAGGGGGGAGGGGGCAGGTACAGACAGGTGCTCATTAGGGGGCAGGTACAGGTGAGGTACCACATACCAACCATGACTCACCCGCTTCTAACGTTGTCACGACACCCCTCCTCCTCCTCCTCCTCCTCCCAGGTCGTCCACCGCCTGCCGATGCCGAACGTGAAGGACGAGCTTCACCACTCCGGATGGAACACCTGCAGCAGCTGTTTTGGGGACGCCACCAAAGTCCGGAACAAGCTCATCCTTCCTTGTCTCATCTCCTCCCGCGTCTATGTGGTGGACGTGGGCACCGAGCGCCGGGCTCCGCGCATTCACAAGGTGGGCATTGTCCAATCGGCTCATCCGGCCCTCCCCCAAACTCTTCTTCTTTACAGCGTCCAATGTGCATTAGCTCTCAGACTGAAAGAGGGAGGAGCAAGTGCAAGGAGCCAGCCAGGTGTGCTGACCCAAAGCATGCTGATAGGAGGAGAGAGATGACCTCATCAGTCTGCTGCTCCTTTAAGGGCTGGGGGCGGAGACATGACCAATGCTGTGTGGTATAAGTGCAGCAGAGAACAGTCAGGTCAGCGGGCTTGGCAGAGCTGTGTAAATCTCAGGACTGGCTGGATGTGACCTGAGCGGGATTCTTCTCTCCACAGGTGGTGGAAGCGGAGGAGGTGAAGAAGAAGTGCGGCCTGCTGAACCTGCACACCTCGCACTGCCTGGGCTGCGGGGAGATCATGATCAGCACTCTGGGGGACCCCGACGGGAACGGGAAAGGTGAGCCCCACTTTCTTATAGTCAATAGGCCTCAGCTGGGTATAACCCCCAAATCAAAATGTCTGGGGGGAGGGGCTTTCCATGAGGATCCCTGAGACTGGTTTCTGCTTCTATCTCAGGAGGCTTCGTGCTGCTGGACGGAGAGACGTTTGAGGTGAAAGGGAACTGGGAGGTTGAGGGCCACGCTGCGCCCTTCGGCTACGACTTCTGGTACCAACCGCGCCACAACGTCATGGTTAGCACCGAGGGGGGGACGCCCCGAAAACTCACCAACGGGTTCAACATAGAGGACGTCAAGGCTGGTGAGGGGGGTACAGGAAGTGCAAGAGACAATGACCCCAAGATGTGACTATTGGGGGGCCAACGTCATCTCCAAAATCCCCCCCTCGGTCCCTCTATTATACCCCAATCCTCGCTCTGTCCCTGCCTTGTAATCCCACCCCCTGTCCCTCAACTGTACCCCAATCCCTCCTCTGTCCCTCTGTTATACCCCAATCCCCCCTCTGTCTCTTTATTATACCCCAATCCCTCCTCTGTCCCTCAACTGTACCACAATCCTCCCCTCTGTCCCTCTATTATACCCCAATCCCTCCTCTGTCCCTTTATTATACCCCACTCCCCCCTCTGTCCCTCTGTTATACCCCAATATCCCCTCTGTCCCTCTATTATACCCCCAATATCCTACCCGCATACAGACCCTGGACCTGGGAGAGGACGGACAGATTCCCCTGGAGGTCAGGTTTCTGCACAACCCCGACGCCGAGCAGGGATTCGTCGGCTGCGCGCTCAGCTCCTCCATCTTCCGCTTCTACAAGACCGCGGTGAGTGGGGGTGGGGCATTACAAATCCCCAAAACACACTTCCCCGGCCAGCTTGGTGCACTTACTGCTGCAATTCTTCCATTTTCATTATATCTGCTAATGGAGGTGTCAGCTTTCTGCAGAGCAGAGCTGAGACTGTGGAGGAAGGAAGCAGCACAGGGAGCCAATCAGCTGGGCTGCTGATAGGAGGAGAGAGCAGAGTGACCAGCTCATCACTGTGCTGCTTCTGCCCAATCACAGGCTGGGGGTTGGACGTTAGTGTGCGTGTGGAAGACTGAGGACATCTAGTGTTGGAGTAGGGGTACTGCGGGGGGGGGGGGGGGGCAGTATTACAGCAAATGCTGATTTTTGTTTGTTTTTTTTGACTCTTTTTATTAATTTTTGGGGTTTTATTTTTTTCTCCACACAGGATGGAAAGTGGGCGGCCGACAAGGTCATCCAGGTACCGTCCAAGAAGGTGGAGGGCTGGGCACTGCCGGAGATGCCGGGTGAGTTGCCATATTGAGCCGGATTAGGGGTCATCCAGCGGCTGCGCACGCGTGTACGATCCGGATCACGTGAAAGCTGAACAACACGCGTGACCGATGACCCAATTCCTTCACCATAAACGCGGCGCGCCTTGTGTTGTAAAACGCACCTCCGGCGCCTGGGAGGCTGACCAGTAAAAGGACACGACCTCAGAGCCCATCGCCGATTCTGAGCGGCTCGCCTACCGATCCCCCTCCCCCATAGATTGAGAACTGGCTCAGAAGGCGGCAGCAGGGGGCTGATCTGTGTCAGACATTTGTGAACACTAGAACAAGGATTGACATGACTGCGTCATCTCTGAGCCGGCTTCTCAGTGGACCCCGGAGGAGGCCTGAACAAAGATGGCGCCGTCCTTCTCGGTGCTCTATAGTCATGGCTGTCCTCTCTTCTCAGGTCTGGTTACGGACATCCTGATCTCCCTGGACGATCGCTTCCTCTACTTCAGCAACTGGCTGCATGGTATTTGCCCCTACTTCCTGTATGAGGAGGAAAGGCAAATTCACCCTTATTTTAAGAAGGGTTCTTTATGGTAAGGGCGGCGTATGGGAAGGGTTTCTTTGCGGCGTATGGGAAGGGTTTCTTTGCGGCGTATGGGAAGGGTTTCTTTGCGGCGTATGGGAAGGGTTTCTTTGCAGTGAGAGCGATATGGTAAGGGTTCTTTGCAGCGAGAGCGATTCATGTGACCTTTGCTCCTCCAATTAACCCCTCACCTTCTGATGCCAGGACACTATGGCCACCAAATCCACGTGTGGGACTGGACCAAGCACACCCGCATACAGACCCTGGACCTGGGAGAGGACGGACAGATTCCCCTGGAGGTCAGGTTCCTGCACAACCCCGACGCCGAGCAGGGATTCGTCGGCTGCGCGCTCAGCTCCTCCATCTTCCGCTTCTACAAGACCGCGGTGAGAGGGGGTGCGGTGGTATTGGTGGGGGGAGGGGGAATGGTCATTACACACTCATTAACCCCCCCCTCCAAAAAAAACTAAAATCTTCTTCACTGCTAATGGAGGTGTCAGCTTCCTGCAGAGCTGAGACTGTGGAGGAAGGAAGCAGCACAGGGAGCCAATCAGCCGAGTTGCTGATAGGAGGAGAGAGCAGAGTGACCAGCTCATCACCGTGCTGCGGGGTTGGACGATAGTGGCCGTGTGGAAGACTGAGGACATCTAGTGGTGGAATGGGGGTACTGCGGGGGGCAGTATTACAGCAAATGCTGGTTTTTGGGGGTTTTTAATGTTTTTTGACTCTTTTTATTCATTTTTTTTTTCTCCACACAGGATGGAAAGTGGGCGGCCGAAAAGGTCATCCAGGTGCCGCCCAAGAAGGTGGAGGGCTGGGCACTGCCGGAGATGCCGGGTGAGTTGCCATATTGAGCCGGATTAGGGGTCATCCAGCGGCTGCGCACGCGTGTACGATCCGGATCACGTGAAAGCTGAACAACACGCGTGACCGATGACCCAATTCCTTCACCATAAACGCGGCGCGCCTTGTGTTGTAAAACGCACCTCCGGCGCCTGGGAGGCTGACCAGTAAAAGGACACGACCTCAGAGCCCATCGCCGATTCTGAGCGGCTCGCTGGCCCCTCCCACTTCTGGGACCGGCTAACCCTCACCTATGACTCAGAAATGTACTCCTACTTCCTGTATTACTTATTATAAGAAGGGTTATTTGCAGTGAGAGCGGTATATGGGAAGGGTTCTTTGTGGCGAGAGCGGTATATGGGAAGGGTTCTTTGCAGTAAGAGCGGTATATGGGAAGGGTTCTTTGCAGTAAGAGCGGTATATGGGAAGGGTTCTTTGCAGTAAGAGCGGTATATGGGAAGGGTTCTTTGCGGCGAGAGCGGTATATGGGAAGGGTTTCTTGCGGCGAGAGCGGTATATGGGAAGGGTTTCTTGCGGCGAGAGCGGTATATGGGAAGGGTTCTTTGCGGCGAGAGCGGTATATGGGAAGGGTTCTTAGCAGTAAGAGCAGTCAATGTCTGGAATTGTCCTCTAGTGATGGAAAAGTATTGAGCAGAGTGATGCTGAGAGCTCAGGTTTCTGTATTTTATCACCTCTGTCTTTCCTTCCAGGTCTTTCTGGGTGGCAGCATTCTCAAAGGGGGCGCGGTGAAAGTACTGGAAGACAAGGAGCTGAAATGTCAGCCAGATCCCGTGATCATTAAGGTGAGTGCCCCCATATTATACCCCGCACTGCGTGTTTGGGGGGGGGATATTGACCCCTCTAGTGTCCCTGCACCGTCCTCTGTGGAGTCTGTTTGCTGTGTCATATTTCATGCCGAGGTAGAAGGCAACTTATAATAAATGTGGCCTGTCCTGTGCAGGGGAAGAAGATTCCGGGGGGACCCCAGATGATCCAACTCAGCCTGGACGGGAAGAGGCTGTACGGCACAAACTCTCTGTACAGCGCCTGGGACAAACAGTTCTACCCGGACATGATCAAGTAAGAGACCCCCCCAATCTTCTCCCCTTTACTGTCTGCGCCCCATATCTACCTGTTGATAAGGGGATACCTTGCACCTCCCCCATCTTCTCACTTCCTCTTTGGTAGCCCCTGACCTCTCCCATCCCCCCTCCGGCTCTCTGACCTCTCCCCTCGGTCCGCTTCTCTGTCCTCTCTCCTCCCCATTGGTCCCCATCTGTCCTCTCTCCTCCCCTTTTTGGTACCCCTCTGACCGGTCTCCTTCTGTCCTGTCTCCTCCCCCTGACCCCTCCACCTTTTTGGTCCACCTCTCTCCTCTCCCCTTTCCCCGTCAGTTGTCCTCTCTCCTCCCCCCTGTCGCCCTCTGACCCCTCCCCCTGTCGCCCTCTGACCCCTCCCCCTGTCGCCCTCTGCCCCCCCCTTTGTTTCCCCTCTGTCCTCCCCTCTCCTCCCCCCCAGGGAAGGCTCGGTCATGATCCAGCTTGACGTGAACACACACAAGGGCGGACTCTCGGTGAACCAGGACTTCCTGGTGGATTTTGGGAAGGAGCCGGACGGTCCAGCTCTGGCCCACGAGTGCCGCTATGAAGGAGGAGACTGCAGCTCCGACATCTGGATCTAACAGTGTCACCTCTTACCTGCACACAGGAGCAATGTCTGAAGATTCATATATGTCCCTCCCCGAAATATATCATTATAGTGATCGCTCCACCTACAGTATCTGCACTGCCACCTGCTGAGCCCCGACCAATGAGAACCTGTCTTCACGTCACATGTCTGCCTTCTGTGTGTGATTATTACTGTCTGTCTTACCTACAATATCTGCCCTGACCAATGAGGACCTGTCTTCACATCCCTTTCCTGCCTTCAGTGTGTGATCATTACTGTCTGTCTTACCTACAATATCTGCACTGCCACCTGCTGGGCCCTGACCAATGAGAACCTGTCTTCACGTCACATGTCTGCCTTCTGTGTGTGATTATTACTGTCTGTCTTACCTACACTATCTGCCCTGACCAATGAGGACCTGTCTTCATGTCACATGTCTGCCTTCTGTGTGTGATTACTACTGTCTGTAATCATATATCTCTATTAAAAGGCCCGCTCCACCATAACTGGAGATGGGAATCACTGAGTTCACCTGTATTCATTCATTCACACCGCGGGGGATGGGGGTTACTCTATCACACGTTCTTGCGCAAATTATTGAAAGAGTTAAAATGAAAATCTTTGGTGGATGCCGGAGAGTCAACCCACCCTGATAGTCTCTCCTATCCCTGTGCGGAGTTCCCAGCTCCGCCCACATCATCCCTCCCCCCTACATTATAAGGGGTTCCCAACATCCCGGATGTCATATATTGTGTTTACTGGTGAACTGGTTATGTCGCCCAGCAACTGGGACAAAGTAAACTCCGCCCACAATAAAGGGAAACCATCCTGCCCCTGTGAGACGCCTCAGATGGAAGCTGACTCTCGGGCTGCCTGTGGCCCCGGGGATGTCATTCACTGTAAAGCCAAATAAGTTCAGCTTCGCTACTCTAGAAAGTGTGGCTGCTACAATCCGAGGCTTCTCGCCCAGGTGGTTGAGCGCCTGTGAGGCCTGGTACCTCCATGGGGATTGGGAAGGAGATGACAGAACAGAACCTTTTTTTTTTTTGCTGTGTCCCCAATAGGGATATTCTCTCTCACTTCCTGTGGTGTCAGCAGGACAGGAAGTAACGGGGCACAGAAAGAATTTTAAAAAAAGCTCAGGATTTTGCTACAGGTAAACTCAGAACGGACGAGAGGTATGATGGAGAGTCGGATGAATAAGCCCCTCCGGGGGCACCGACCCCCAGCAGGGATTGCTTAATGATTAAACCCGCCCCTTCTGTTTACAGGATTAAAAAAAATGGGGCAGCTAGTAGAAGTGTGAGATTCTTCACTTATATTGGCTTCTGCTGGGAAGGGGGCGGGGCAGTCAGTCCACAATATAAGGGGGGGGAGCATTTCTATTTGGTGATGAATGTGGGGGCACCTAAAGGTCTCCATGAAACAGAATGTACTCCCCCCTCTGGGTGATCAGGAGGAATGCTGCAGACTGTGCCCAAGAGCTCACAATCTATGGGTCTGCAAGGGAAAACAGAGCACAACCTCACCCCTTAGGGTGGCGCTACAAACCCTGCAAGGGCTTTTTGGGAACGCTGGGACTTGTAGTCCCTCCACCTTGATTCCAATATTTAGGATTCATGTGAATTGGTGTGTTTCCCTTTAAGGAAGGGGCGTGGCCTCCTTACTCTACTGCCAGCCAACCACCCTTGAATGTTGTGACACGGTACAGCCGCCCCTGTTTGGCGCCCTCACCGCTCAGACCAATGGCTGCGCAGTTACCAGGCAGGGGCCATAATAGCGGCCAATCAACGTGCACGAATTTTGTGTTTCCGGGGGAGAGCGGCGCCGCCAGCCAATGGGAAATCCGTTTGAGGCGAGGGGAGGTGGCGGCGGCGGCCAATCAGAAAAGCGGAGAGTGCGGAGGCTCCGGAACGGCGGTAGGTGATTCCCGGGAATGGCGCCACTGGCCGGGGGGTCACTAGAAGAGCACTTCGTCCCTCCACGCCCCTCCGTGGGCGTGGCTAGTCGGGAGGGCGCAAACCCCGCCCCTTTTTGGGCTGACATTGAGCTGGGAGACAGAGAAAACCTCATAGCCGGGGTGACGTGCTGGGGGAGAAATTACCCTCCGGACCCGGCGCGACATCACTTATAGGGTCACCAGAGAGGGAGCAACATCCCCACGGGGTCACCAGGCACAGAATTACATCACCACGGGGTCACCAGACACAGAATGATATCATTTATGGGTTCACCAGACACAGGGTGACTTTACCCACGGGGTCACCGGATTCGGGGCAACACATGTGACGTTACCCACATGTTCACCAGACTCAGGAGGACTTTGTCACAGGGCCACCAGATAAAGAGTGACATTACCTACGGCGTCCCTAGTCACGGGGGCCACCAGACATGGGGCGATGTCACCCCGTGGCCGCCAGACACAGGGGGATGTCACCCACCGGACACGGGGCCACCAGACACAGAGCGATGTCACACACCGGACACGGGGCCACCAGACACAGAGCGATGTCACACCCCGGACACGGGGCCACCAGACACAGAGCGATGTCACACACCGGACACGGGGCGATGTCACTCATGGGGCCACCAGACACGGGGGGATGTCACTCAGGTGCTGATGTCAGACACGGGGGGATGTCACCCACAAGGCCACCAGACACGGGGCGACATCCTGGGATGGATATGGGTCTTACCTCCTCCTGAATACGCTCGCTGCCTGGCTGTCTGTGTGTTCTGAGTCTGTACCGCGGTCAGTGAGGCCGGAGGAGCCACGTGACAGCCAGGCAGCCGGCATTTCCAGAAGGAGACCAGTGAGGTGCAGTACAGAATGAAATGGCAGAGAGTTAGCGGGTCACCGTCCTCTGACACCCTGAGGTGGGCGGAGTCTGAACATCCCCATGTATAGGCTGGTGAAGGAATGACATCTGCTGTCCCCCAGCCCCAGAGTCCTCACAGGAGGTTGTGATGTGGTTACTCTCCATGTGCACAATAGTACAGGGACCCTCCACAGGATGATGTCATCAGCGTTCTCTAGAAACTTTATTGTTCTGGACATGAGGGCAACCCTGGGAAAGGGGACTTTGCAATGAGATGTGGGCTGTCCCAGGCATGACTTGTGTGCACACATCCAGAACAATAAAGTTTTTTTATGGTCACCTAAGTGACGATAAGGGGATAATATTTTTTTTTCTAAACTTTATTTATAAATGGAGAGCAGGACACTGACTGCCCAGGCCTGCACATTGTACAGAGAGCGGCTCTCCGGGGTGATCAGAGGAGTTCTCTGCGCTCCGATTCTGACAGCGGAACTCCACTGATTACAGGGCCGCTCCCCCTGTGTAATCCGCAGTGCTGGGCTGTCAGTGGGGTGGTATGGGGGTCAATTAGGGGTGGTGATAAGGGGGAGAGGTCTGGGAGGGGGCAGTAGGAAGGTTATTATGGAGGGGGGTGATTAGGGCAGAAGATGTTGTACTGTAGGACAATCTGTAATGGAGGTCAGCGTTGCCACTCTTGTGTCCCCGGCAGGTCCAGCACGCGGGAGGGGATGGCAGAGGACGCGCTCTATGAAAAGATCTCGAAGAAGGGCGGACTGACGGCCGGAGACCCCCAGGAGGAGACGGAGCCCATCAACCTCCTGCAGAAACTGCGCAGCCGCATCACGTAAGGCTCTTCCCATCCCGAACACCGCCGGCGTAGTCCCCCCGAGAACACTCGGCCGCTGAGCGTACACTCTTATTACATAATAAGGTCCTAGTGGTGTCACAGCACAGAAGGGGCGGAGCCTGGCCATTTTTCGTAGCAAATACATTTCCCGTTTTTCGGCCTTCGCAGGTTTGATGGATGTTTACTGATTGTTCTCATTTCTATCAACAGAAAAGCCGTGCAAATTAAAGTGGACAGTATACTGGTAAGTGACCTTTGACCCGGAACCCTGGCTGCAGGTGTGACCTCTGACCCTGGCTGAACATGTGACTTCTGAACCTTGGCTGCATGTGTGCATCCTGGCTGCAGGTGTGACCTCTGACCCTGAACCCTGGCTGCACAAGTGACTTCTGGACCTTGGCTGCATGTGTGACCCCTGAACCCTGGCTGCGGGTGTCACCTCTGAGCCTAAACCCCAGACTGCATGTGTGACCTCTGCTCCTGAGCCTTGGCCTGTATATGAGACTTCTGTCCCTGAACACTGGCTGTGTGACCTTTGACCCTGAACACTAGCTGCATATGTGACCTGACGCTGAAAGTGTGTGACTTCTTGCCCTGAACTCTGGCTGCATGTGTGACTTCTGACCCTCTACCTTGGCTGACCCTGAAAACTGGTTGTATGTGTGACCCCTGACACTGAAGCCTGGGTGTCTGACCTCTGACCGTTATCCCTAACTATGTGTGACTCCTGACTGTATGTGTGACCTCTGTACGCTGGCTGCATGTGTGACCTTTGACCATGTGCCTTGGCTGCATGTGTGACCTCTAACGCTGTTCCCTAGTTGTATGTGTAACCCCTGATGCTGAATCCTCGGTGTGTGAATTCTGACCCTTATCCCTGACTATTTGTGACCCTTTACCCTGGCTGTATGTGTGACCTCTGACCCTGTACCCTGGCTGCATATGTGACCCTGAACCCTGGCTGGGCTGAACATGAGACCCCTGACCCAAAATTCATGCTGTCCATCTGGTAGATCACTGGTAGGTCGCGGTCGACCTAATGGGCGCCCCTGCTGTAGACCTTGTTAGCAATTGTTTGCTTCTCCTGTGTCCCTCACTTCCTGTGTAGTGAGGGGGGAATGCGTTTATGTCTCCTTAACAAATGGAACGTATTGCTACAGCGGCTTACGGAGGAAGAGTATGGTGAGCATGCCCCCGCTGCCCAGCCTGGACCTGAAGATGACAGAGAGTGTAAGAATACGCATGCCAACCTGGGAACTATAGGCCGGTCAGTCTAACATCGGTAGTTTGTAAAATGCTAGAGGGCATAATAAAGGATTATCTGGTAGAATTTGTTCAGGATTGTACATTCCTTTTCTCTCTCTTTGTGACCCTACAGGGGGACGTCCAGAAGTTGTCTGACTATGACAAGCTGTACCTCTATCTCCAGCTGCCACCCGGCCCCAGCGGCCCCGACAAAAGGTATCTTCGACACCCCCCAAAACTGGGAACACATTGTACTGGCTTTATCCAAGTGGTCTATGCTGCTTGTAAAGAGAACCGGTCATACAAGAATAGCAGCTGTTTGACCTCCGGCGATCTTCCCTGAGTGAGAAGAGGGAGGATGTGTATGACAGGTGCTCTTTGGAGGTGGGTGGGGACTCTCCCTGAACCCCTTATGGAGCTAGGAACTGTGCCAGTCATAATGGACACAGTGTGGAGTGCACATCAGACCCTGCAAGTGTTATAGTTGACTCCTCTCTCTTCTCCGTACAGCTTGGATGTAGGCTGCGTGACCACGGCGGAACACATGCACGCCTGTACGTGGATACGGAACCACCTGGAGGAGCACACGGACACCTGCCTGCCCAAACAGGATGTGTACGACGCGTACAAGTGAGTAGGGCGGGGCCATGGGTCCCCGTGACCGAGTCCAGGGGCCAGTGACTACCATCTCAAGTTTACGGTGCGCACCGTCTTATCTCCACAGGCGCTACTGCGATAACCTCTGCGGACGACCACTCAGCGTCGCCAACTTCGGAAAGATCATCCGAGAGATTTTCCCAAATATCAAGGCCCGGAGGCTAGGAGGGCGGGGCCAGTCCAAATATCCTTTTGTGTGAGAGGGCAAAGGGGACCTAAAAAGGTGTATGTGATACGGTTGTGGGGGGAAGATGTTTTTCTGCACACTGCTGACTTCCTGCTGGAATCATTATATACTGGACTGTTGTGGGACTGCGTTTCCCAGCATGCCCTGTTTGGTATAGAGAGCATAAGGCTGGCCATACTACTAGCAGGGCATGATGGGAATTGTAGCTTCATAGTAGCTGTAGAGCAGGGGCGCCCACAATTTTTAGTCTGGAGATCTATTTTTCGTCTGGAGATCTATTTGTCAAATGACGAGCTCAATGAGATCTACCAACGAAAAAACACCTGCATTTGGGGGGGGGGTCATGGCGGTGCATTGAAGTCAATGGCACCGCAGTCACGCCCCGCACCCGGAACGCAGGCCGGCAGCCACACGAGCGCCGCGGGAGCAGAGCCGTAGCTGGCTCCGTTTGCTCGCGAGGCAAGAATTTTAAAAAAACGTGCCCCCAACAGGCGTGTTAGGGGGGCTTTGGGTAAATATTAGGGGATATTTCCCTTTTAAAATAGAAAAAGAATTTGACATAAAGTCCTCAATCTCTTTTCCTGCAGCCTCTATTCTAAATGAATGGAAAGCACAGAGGCTTCCCATTCATTCAGAAAATATTTACTATCATCCAGTTTCTGAATGGGGGGAGCCTCTGTACAGAGTGCTGCTCCCCATTGAGAAACTCATGAATGAACAGGAAGTGATGTAAAGCACTGTTATTTACAAACACTGGAGTGATCAGCTGACCGCTCCAGTGTTTGTCCTGCACAGAGGATTGGTACATATCACTGATATGTACCGATCCTCCGCCGCTCAGCTTTTCCTCTGGATCCCCGCTGCTCTCCTGGGCAGAGGCAGCGGGGGATCCGAGGAGAAGTAAAAGAAGCACTTCAGCCACGGGGGCAGCGGAGGACGGAGCGCGGTGAGGAGAGAGAGAGCCGCCGGCTGTCAGATCCTGGCCGAGCGTCTCTCCCCTCACTGCTCAGCCATTCTGCTGTGACAGCGGCTCCCTCCTCCACCCACCGCCGGCCGCAGCGCTTCGTTCACTTCTCCTCAGGTCCCCGCTGCATACAGATGGGGGAGAGCAGCGGGGATCTAGAGGAGAAGCCCCACGGCGGGAGGACAGGGCATCGCGATCTAACAGTGATCGCTTCGCGATCGACTGGTAGATCGCGATCGACCTAATGGGCGCCCCTGCTGTAGACCTTGTTAGCAATTGTTTGCTTCTTCTGTGTCCCTCACTTCCTGTGTAGTGAGGGGGGAATGCGTTTATGTCTCCTTAACAAATGGAACGTATTGCTACAGCGGCTTACGGAGGAAGAGTATGGTGAGCATGCCCCCGCTGCCCAGCCTGGACCTGAAGATGACAGAGAGTGTAAGAATACGCATGCGTGTCGAGTTCCTCCTCCCTGCACTCACCTCATTCCTCCTCCCTGCACTCACCTCATTCCTCCTCCCTGCACTCACCTCATTCCTCCTCCCTGCACTCACCTCATTTCTCCTCCCTGCACTCACCTCATTTCTCCTCACAGCACTTCGCTCGCTTCTCCTCCCTGCACTCACCTCATTCCTCCTCCCTGCACTCACCTCATTTCTCCTCACTGCACTTCCCTCGCTTCTCCTCCCTGCACTCACCTCATTTCTCCTCCCTGCACTCACCTCATTTCTCCTCACAGCACTTCGCTCGCTTCTCCTCCCTGCACTCACCTCATTCCTCCTCCCTGCACTCACCTCATTTCTCCTCACTGCACTTCCCTCGCTTCTCCTCCCTGCATTCACCTAATTTCTCCTCCCTGCATTCACCTAATTTCTCCTCCCTGCATTCACCTCATTCCTCCTCCCTGCACTCACCTTATTTCTCTTCCCTCGCTTCTCCTCCTTACACTCACCTCATTTCCCCTCCCTGCATTCACTTAATTTCTCCTCACTGCACTTCCCTCACTCCTCCCTGCACTCACCTCATTGCTCCTCACTGCACTTCCCTCGCTTCTCCTCCCTGCACTCACCTCATTTCTCCTTCCTGCACCTGCCCTGTTCCTCCTACCTGCACCTGCCTGGTTTCTCCTACCTGCACCTGCCTTGTACCTCCTACCTGCACCTGCCTGGTTTCTCCTACCTGCACCCGCCTTGTTCCTCCTACCTGCACCTGCCTGATTCCTCCTACCTGCACCCGCCTAGTTCCTCCTACCTGCACCCGCCTAGTTCCTCCTACCTGCACCTGCCTAGTTCCTCCTACCTGCACCTGCCTTGCTTCTGCTACCTGCACCTGCCTAGTTCCTCCTACCTGCACCCGACTAGTTCCTCCTACCTGCACCCGACTAGTTCCTCCTACCTGCACCCGCCTAGTTCCTCCTACCTGCACCCGCCTAGTTCCTCCTACCTGCACCCGCCTAGTTCCTCCTACCTGCACCTGCCTTGCTTCTGCACCTGCCTGATTCCTCCTACCTGCACCCGCCTAGTTCCTCCTACCTGCACCTGCCTTGATCCTCCTACCTGCACCCGCCTAGTTCCTCCTACCTGCACCTGCCTTGATCCTCCTACCTGCACCTGCCTTGTTCCTCTTACCTACATCTGCCTTGCTTCTGCTACCTGCACCCACCTTGTTCCTCCTACCTGCACCTGCCTGATTCCTCCTACCTGCACCTGCCCTGTTCCTCCTACCAGCACCCGCCTTGTTCCTCCTACCTGCACCTGCCTTGTTCCTCCTACCTGCACCCGCCTAGTTCCTCCTACCTGCACCCTCATCACTCATCTTTCCCCTCTCTCCTTGCTTCTCCATCCTCCTTGCTCCCTCTTCCTCCTCTTCTACCTTCCTCACTACTCTTTTCTCATCCTCCAGCTTCTTCTTCCTCCACCCTCCTTGTTCTTTCTTCCTCCTCACTCCTTCTTACTCTCCTTCACACCTCTTCCCTCCTCAACCCTACTCGCTCCTCTTTCCTCTTCTTCCTCACTCCTCCTTCCTTCTCCCTCTACTTCCATCCTCCTCACTACTCCTTCCATCCTCCTCTCTGCCGTATCTTCCTCATTCTTCCATTCTCCTCACTTCTCCTTCCTCTTCTTTCATCCTTTTTACATATTCTTCTTCAATCCTTCTCCTTTCTCTATTCTCCTCACTCCTCTTTTCTCTAACTCTATCATCCTCTCTCCCCTATCCTCCTGGTTCTTCTTCCTCCTCACTCCCCCTCCCTCTTTCTCTTCACTCTTCCTTCCTTTTCTTAATTCCTACTTCCTCTTCCTGCATCCTCCTCACTCATCCCTCCTCTTCCTCCAGTTTTCTCTCTCTCCCCTTTCCTCCTTGTGCTTTCTTCCACCTCAGTCCTCCTTCCTCTTTCCCCCTTTTGTTTTTCTCACCTGATGTCCTCTCTCATGGCACAGTCCGAGCTGACAGACCTGGTCCAGTCGTACAACAACGACGTCATCAACGCCTCCTGCGCTCTGATTTGCAACTGGGCAGAGAAGATTCTGAAGAGATCGTTCAACAACGTCGTGGAGGTGGCCCAGTTCCTGATCCAGCAGCACATCATCAACCCCCGCAGTGCCAACGCCGAGCTGGTCCTGTCCATGGTCCTGTCAGGTGAGAAGTGCGCCATTTCGGCTTCTGCCCGTCGGCGCACTCCTCGATATTTACGCCTCTGTTTTTGGGTCTCATTTCCGGAGCAGAAAACGCCCAGAGCGGCGGGCAGAAACTACAGAAGCAGCCGGCAGAGGCGCCCGGGATGAAGAGGCCCCCGTCTCCCGATAACAGCACGGCAGACAATAAGGTTGGTACTGTGGGTAGGGAAGGGGGTGGGAGGGCATCACACACAAACATGGATCCTTTTGCCTGCCAATGTATTTGTCATTCTGTTTAGACGGTCTTGTGATTTACACGCCACAGCAAGCATGATAGCTCCACCACTTCCTGGATCTGCTTTACAGTCTCCTGTTTTGCCCTTCTGCCCACTTGACAATAAATGGGCAATGTGATAGGTGCCATTCATTGCCCAGTGCCCTGGTGCCCATCCTGTGGCCTGAGGGCCCCTTCTGGTGCTTGCTGTGTGGCCCTATTCAGAACCCTGCAGTCAGTAGTGGGGGCATTCCTTTGTTAACCTCTTGCCGTCTGCCCGTTGTAAAAAAAACGGACGAACGGCAGACTCAGATGGGCGGGTTGCCGTAATTAGACGGCATTTTTTTTTCTGTGCGCACGGGCAGAGAAAGCCCGTCCATTCTGTACAGCCGTTACCGGCTGTTTCACATACAAACAATTGCTTGTATGTTGTGTTTTGCTCGCCCCCCACTCCCCGCCCTGGAGTGCCGCCCCCTCCTGACCCCTCACCTTCAATCTCGAAATCCGCTAGCCCATCTGCAGCCCGGGACCGGCTCGGGAGGGTGTCAGGAGGTAAGATGGGAGGGAGGTCAGCATCTTCCTCCTTGCTGATCTCCCTCAGTACTGTGAATGCGGAAGTGATGTGTGTTACATCACTTCCGCATTCACCTGTCAGTCATCTGGCTGCTATAGTCAGAGAGAAGAAGCTGATGAATCAGATCTGTGCTTCATCAGCTTATTTTGGGGTCCCCAGGTGACAGGGGTCTTGGACCCCCTAATGTCTCCATAAAGAGGACCTGTCAGTGTGCCTGTGCTATTATATAGGGAGATTGTTACCCCCTATGTAATAGCAATAACAATAAGTGTAAAAATATAAAAATAAAAGTCACATAAAAAAAGTTTTGAAAAAACCCCCAAAAATGTTTCAGCGCGAAAACGACAATTGCGCTACACATGTTACATATGGCCGGGAACGTTTGAGTGAGCGCAATCATTTTAGGGCCATCAATCACTGATAACACTAAACTGATGAGCGGTAAAAGATTTTAAAGTGTCGCCTATGGCCAATTTTGGGTATTGTACTTTTTTGAGGTTTGGCGCAATTTTAAGGCTCGACATGTTTGGTGTCTATTTACCCGACGTGACCCCGTCTTTTATATTTTACCAAAAAATTGGGTAAATATAAATGTTTTATCATTTAATATAGGGGAAACTGTTTTTTGTTTTTAAATTTTCAGTCATTTTTCCTTAATATAGTAAAAAATAAAAACCTCCTGTGGTGTTTAAATACCAGCAAAATAAAGCTCTATGTGTCCCCAAAAAATGGTATAAAATTCCTTTCAGTACAGCGTTGCATGACGGAATAAATGTCAGTCAAAGTACCGCAGCGCTGAATACTGAAAAATGGCCTGGCCAGGAAGGGGGTGTAACACCGCTGTCAGCAAGTGGTGAAGAGGCTGTAATGACATTGATGCCTAGAAGTCACATGTAGTATGTCCCCAGTCTCCATCTATCTCCTGTAGGGTGTCTTCAGTCTCCAGCCACCCCTTGTTGGAGGTCTGCACTCTCTGACCGTCTCCTTTATTATGTCTGAAGTCTCTGACAGTCTCATGTCGTATACTGGATATTATGTGGGGCCCTTGTGCAGATGTCAGGGGCCATAATTAAGGCCCCCTATGCCTTGTATTGGACAACCACTGACTGAAGGCGGAGACTTGACCTGTAAAGCTGAGATAGGAAGCAGCTTATTGGCGGTGGTGTGTGTGGGTCGCAAGACTGGCCGTTTGATTGCACTACGCTGTAGTAAAAGCAGTCTCACTTTTTTTTTTTTTAGAAGAAGACGCCACCAAACACGCACCCAGCTAGCCCCCCGCAGGTGAAGAAGCGCCCCCCCGAGCCACAGAAGGCAGCCAGCAGCCCCCAGGTGGACGCCTTGGTCGCTAAGCTTCCGGTCCTGCGCCCCCGCCTCCCCACAGAAGACAAGTTCGTCAGTTCCAGCCCGCCGGTCCGATTCGCCCCTCCCGTCCTGGCTTCCAATCTCCTCCCCGGGCACTTGAAGGTGTCGCCTTTGCCGTTCGCCGCCGTTCCACCGGGAGTGCCGCTGGCGGTGACCACCGCGGGGATGAACGGGGCAGGGTTGGTCTCTCAGCCGTTGGCCCAGCCCGTCATCAGCATGCTCCTTCCCGACGTGGTCAGTTTGGAATCGCACGTCCTGCCGAAAGTCAGTCAAAACGGCATCAAAGAGCTGGCAGGAGGCGCGGCCGAAAGCAGAGCGGCTAAGCGGCCCGCGGCCTCCTGCGAGGAGGGACAGTCGAAAAGGAAGCGCGGTCGCCCGCGGAAGGTGGACCCTCAGCTTATCCCCGGCAAAGGACCCTTGCCGTCTGCGGCACAGCCTGGGAGGGTCGCGGCGGAAGCCCCCAGCGCGACGCAAATTGGGGACAACGCACAGGAAGCCGTCAGCTCGTCGGAACCGCCGGCCACCATCACACAAGAAACAGACTCTGCAGCACCGCTGACAATTGGAGACCAGATTATAAAAAGTGAACTCGAGGAGCCGCTTTCCCCCAGCCTGACCGCCATCAGGAGGGTGGATGTGCCAAACCAGGTCAGCGTCATCCAAGATGGCCGACAGAGCTCGGTGCAGTGGACCGTACGGACAGCAGAGCAAAGGGGTAACAGAGAGGAAGCGTCCCCACAGGCTGAATCCGAATGGATTAGGGTCCAAGTTGAGTGACAGTCCCCCCCCCCCTACTCAAGCGGCGCCACCATTCCCCCCGCCAGGA